ACAAGGTGAGGGGCCCTGGGACCCCCGGCTTCGCCCAGGGACCCACACCCTCGGCATGGGACCCCCAGCTGGGCTCTGCACCCCCGGGCCCGGCTACAGCTCTCCGTGGAAACGCTCTCTCTCTCTCTGCCCCAGTACATGAGGAACTGCATCGCCGTGGGGCGCCTGCCCCACCTCATGCTCATGTCCAAGGAGAGTCTGTACAGCCAGCTGCCGGCCAACGTCTTCCTGCTGCCCTCCTACGCCCGCCGGGCCGGGCCCTGCGCCCACGCCAACGGGGACCCGCCCGCCAAGTCCCTCTGGTCCGTGCCCAGCCTGCTGCGCATCAGCGTGCTGTGTGCCACCTACGTCAACGTCAACATCCGCGACATCGACAAGGCGAGGCCGGGGCCCGGACGCCTGGGTTCTCGCCTGGCTCTGGGAGGGGAGTGGGGGCTGGTGGGTTAGAGCAGGGGGGCTGGGAGCCAGGACTCCTGGGTTCTCTCCCCGGCTCTGGGAGGGGAGGGGGGGCTGGGGGGTTGGAGAGGGGGGGGGGGGGCCAGGACTCCTGGGTTCTCTCCCCGGCTCTGGGAGGGGAGTGGGGGCTGGTGGGTTAGAGCAGGGGGGACTGGGAGCCAGGACTCCTGGGTTCTCTCCCCGGCGCTGGGAGGAGAGTGGGGGCTGGTGGTTAGAGCGGGGGGGGAGGTGGCTGGGTTCCCGGACGCCTGGGTTCCCTGGCATGATGGCTCTTTCTCTCCCCTTTCCCAGATCTACGTGCGGACGGGGATTTACCATGGCGGGGAGCCCCTCTGTGATAACGTCAACACCCAGCGCGTTCCCTGCTCCAACCCCAGGTAGCAGGCGGGGCGGGGGCTCAGTGGGGGGCGCTCTCCCTCTGCACTCTGCCCTGGCCCCAGCGCCCTGCTGCGGGGCCACTGGGAGCGGGCTGGGGGGCTCCCCCTGCCCGCCGCCGGCGACCCCAACCTCTGTCCCTCTCCCCCAGGTGGAACGAATGGCTCTCCTACGACATGTACCTCGCAGACCTGCCCCGCGCCGCCCGCCTCTGCCTCTCCATCTGCTCTGTCAAGGGCCGCAAGGGGGCCAAAGAGGTGGGGGGGCTGGCTGGCTCCGGGGGAATGGGGCAGGGGCCTGTCCCCTCTAGGGGGCGCCAGCTCCCACCCAGCCCCAGGGCGGGGACTGTCTGGCTCAGGGGGCAGGGAATGGGGCAGGGGCCTGTCCCCTCTAGGGGGCGCCGGATCCCACCCAGCCCCAGGGCGGGGACTGTCTGGCTCAGGGGGATGGGGAATGGGGCAGGGGCCTGTCCCCTCTAGGGGGCGCCGGCTCCTCCCCGGGGTGGGGACTGGCTGGATCCAGGGGGCGGGGAATGGGGGGCAGGCTGGCTGTGACCCCCCATGGTCTCTGCCCCCCCCCCCCCCCCGGCAGGAGCACTGCCCCCTGGCGTGGGGGAACGTCAATCTCTTTGATTACAAAGATACCTTGGTGGCTGGGAAGATGGCGCTCAACCTGTGGCCGGTGCCCCACGGCCTGGAGGACTTACTGAACCCCATCGGTGTGGGGGGCTCGAACCCCAACAAGGTGAGTGTTTTCCTGCTTCCCCCCAGCTCTGCCGGTGCCCCTCACTCCCGACCCGCAGCCCCTGCTACCCCAGCCCTGGGTCCCTCTCTGTCCCATCCCGTACCCCAGTGGGGTATCTGGCTATGAACCCCCTCCTCGCCTCTCGGCAGCCGTAAGCCCCTCTCGTGGTATTGCAGCCGCCTTCTCTTCCCCCCCCCCCCCCCCCCCCCGAGGTGGCAGCTGGCTGCTATGGTAGGGCCTACTCAAAACGCACCAGGCCAAAAAGATCAACCTAAGCGCTTAGAAACATCTGCTGTGAAACCGTAAACTTGCCTCAGTGGTGCGGTCTCCCATTCATCACAGTAGGGCCTATGTAAATACACAGGGCCGGCATGATCTGGCTATTAAGGTAGGGCCTACGTAAATACACAGGGCTGGCATGATCTGGCTATTAAGGTAGGGCCTACGTAAAAACACAGGGCCGGCATGATCTATTACATAAAGCTATATAATAAGCGCTACAGTAATAGATCCACATGGCCTTCTTGCGTGTTATTGTAGGGCCTACATAAATCGGAAGGGTCTGAGCACATGGTTTTTGGGGTGCTTTGCTGGGGGCTGGGAGTCCCCTTTGTATGGGGTTGGGGGTGCCTAGGATTCTGACCCCCTTTTCACCCCCCACCTCCCCCCACCAGGAGACCCCCTGCCTGGAGCTTGAATTCACCTGGTTCAGCCACGCGGTGAAATTCGCCGACGAGGCACAAATCGAGGATCACGCGAACCGGAGCATGTCACGGGAGCTGGGCCTCAACTGCTGCCTCACGGGGCTGGTAAGGGGGGTGTCCTTCCCCTGTGGGGGGCGCCGGCTACCACCCGGCCCCAGGGCAGGGACTGGCTGGCTCAGGGGGGTGGGGAATGGGGCAGGGGCCTGTCCCCTCTAGGGGGCGCCAGCTCCCACCCGGCCTCAGGACGGGGACTGAGGACACTGGATGTTTTGGGGGGCCCCCCCCCCGTTTCCCTGCAGAGCAACCGCCTGGCCCGGGACAGCAGCCTTCAGGAGAACGAACTGGAGCAGCTTCGGAGCATCTGCCACCGTGACCCCCTGTCGGAGATCACCGAGCAGGAGAAAGACTTCCTCTGGAGGCACCGGTAGGCAGCCCGGACGCCTGGGTTCTCTCCCCGGCGCTGGGAGGGGAGTGGGGGCTGGTGGGTTAGAGCAGGGGGGGCTGGGAGCCAGGACTCCTGGGTTCTCTCCC